TTTGGATGAAACAATGTGTGTGGGCTGCCAGTTTGAGAACTTTGACCTAAATAACTTAAAAAATCCAGAAATTGAATAGGAGATCCCAGCATGAGTGGGGAAAGGGAAGTGGTAGAGGAGAGAAGGCAGTGATCAGGAAGGAAAACTTCAGAATGCAGAGATTTTGAACAAGGAGGCACAACTTGACTTCTTTCCTGAGCTCTAGTTTCATTTGTTCAGATACCTGCTGGGCATCTTCAGAGGACTATCCTATGGTATTTCCTCAAAGACAAGCATCTAAAAGTATGAATGGCTCATTTTTTCCAAACCTGCTCCTCTTCAGGTGCTACCTATTTCTCATAATAATACTTTTCTTTTCCTGGTTACACTGGTTCAAAACAAAGAGCTACCTAAGGTTTTTCCTTATCTAGTATACCATTTCCATATTGTTGAGTCTTTTTAATTTCATCTCTGTAATAAGTTTCATTCATCCTGTCCTCTTGGCAATTTTTCGCTCCCTTCCTTAGCTTAGGTTTTATTACTATAGCTCTTAATACTTCCACAGTACCTCCACATTCACTTACTTTAGTCCGTTCCTTATATTGCTGTAAGACTCACTTTTTGAAATAGGAGATCTTATTATGAATGTTAGTACTTAATTGAACTCTTCTGCCAGCCCTGAAAGTAGAACATTTTACATTAATTATGTCATTTAGTCCATACATCAACTATAAGAAGAAGGTACTGTTAATCACTTTTTATATGTGATGAAACAGGCTCAGAGTTTCTGGGGTCACCAGCTAAGAAATGATGGAACTGGGATTCAAAACCTAAAACTGTTGGATTGCAGAGTCCTCATGTCACTCCCTTGCTCTAATCTTCAGGGCTCCCTAAGGTGTTTTAGGCAAAGGAAGCAGACTGAGTGATAAGTGGCACAGGGGCCTCTCCACACAGGATATGTATTGGCGGGTTATGTAATAGGGACTTTTGCTTTATATTAGAGTCACCTAAAGAGCTTTTAAAAGTAGTGTGATGCCTAATCTGGCCCTCCCAGAGCAGCTGAAACAAAACTTCTGGGAATGGGGCCCAGTGTCAATATTCTTAAGATGCTTTCTAGATGATTCTCCTTTATAGCCAGGGTTGAGAACTATTGGTGTGGAGCATGGAATATGTAGGGTAGGGGGAGGTGAGGAAAATACAGTAGTAAATAATGGGAAAATAGGTTATGTTGACATTTGTGTGCCATTCTTTGGTCTATTGGGTGTTTCTGAAGCCATATGTTATATTCTGCCAACTGCTGAGCAGGTAAAACAACAAAAAACCCAAACTGGATTAAAGTACAATGTGTAGAACAAATTGGAAAGGAGGACAAAAATGGGTCTGATTGTATGCTGTGGTATACTGCTTTGGTGCTGAACCAGGCAATAGCCTGGCATCCTTAGGCCTTGGGGTGTCAGGAAGGCTCTAGGACCACAGGTTTGGATCTAGGTGCTACTTTGTTATTCCTTGTATATAGTCATGCCTGAGCATTTACAATCTAAAGAATATATTTTATTATAATTGACTTTCCTTTACTACAGGTAGGGTCTTATATTTTTCCCCCAAAATATGTGTATAGGTTGGCTTTTAAAAAAAAATTTTTAGGGGCCGGCCCGGTGGCGCACTGGATAAGTGCACCGCTTGGGAAGCGCGGCGGCGC